TGCAGCTTAATGATAACCTATCGCGGTTTGTCCTAGATAGACCTGCAACCACTTTGTAAGTAGACAGACCTAGCTAGGGGCCGGATAGTCAAATACACAGTTATCAACGGTGAGTCAGGCTAATTTAGTAATGAGCTTTTATAAATTTTGTATTATATTTACTAAATTAGGCTGTTAGTATGTACCCGACGGGATATGCAACACTTTCCAATATTCCCAGATATATTATTCACTCAGACCTCGGAAAGGGGCACTTTCCTTCTTTGTCACCACCTGTGGCATCAGATCAGTCCTTATTGACTGATTTTCAATTAAGCAGAGTACCAGATTGGGATATCCTGAGCTAGGAGAGCGGAGGTCTTGGAGATTGCCAGCTCAAGTTGTGCCAGAATCTCGACATCAGGGGAATTAATAGAAGTGATTATAGGAGCACGAATGAATACTGCAGGAAAAAGGTCTTTAGAAGAATTAATGCGAGATATGTAAAGTGATGATTCAAATGAATCGATCTAAAAAAGTAAAACGGTTAGCATATTTTCTATATCTTTAGACAAATGTGCACATATACAGTATATATACTTACCTGACTTCCAAATTGATTTCGATTTACAGTAATATCTAGTCCACCCAATAATTTCTGGCCACCTTTCTTTGTTTTTGTCGCCTCGTTGGCTAATAAAATCATACCAGCACAAGTACCCCATGTAGGTTTTGTGCGAACAAATTCCCTTAAATCATCCCATATTCCTGAACGTTCAGCCACTAAAGCCATAGTAGTGGATTCACCACCAGGAATTATTAAAGCATCGATAAGACGAAGTTGTTCAGCGGTACGGACCGTATATACTGAGGCGACTTGGGGGATATTTTGAAGCATGTGTATATGCTCTTGAAATGCTCCCTGAAGAGCTATATAAAAAATTTATTTAATTAAAAAAGTCACGTCTGTAAATAACTGTCTTTGACAAGTACCTAAAACTCCGACACTTATTTGCTTCGATTTATCTGTTCGAACCATTTCTTAACGTGAAAAAAAGAAAAAATTTTTTTACAGATAACATTTTAGCTTTCCTTAAATGCTACGATTGGTTAGTCATAAATATACCTGTCATTCGGCCCAATTAAAGGTAGAATAAAAAAGGAAGCTTTCGATAGTCTGGAAATTATTACATAATATTTATAATTTGCAATATCTGCAATATCGAGATTTTTGTAATCCAAATAAAATTTAATTTATAATTATTAATCAATATAAAAGCTAACGAATATACAGTATAATCTATTGTTTTTTTTGTTTTTTTTTTTTTAATAAATTATTTTTTAACTATTAAGTTAATTTACAATTATGAATTTTTTATAGTTTTAACTATCAATAAAAAATCTAATTATTTAAATCTTTTAATATTTTATTTTTAAATATTTTTTTTAAAACTTTTTTATAAAGAATTTTTTTATATTTTTATTAATAATTCTTTATATTATTAATAAATATATATTCTTCTTTTTAAAATAATTTTTAAGTATTTTTATTTTATTTATATAAATAAATTTATAAATAAAAAATTTTTTAATATTAATTTATTCTGGTACTAAATATAAAAAAAATTTTTTTTTTATATTAACTTATCTTTATACTATATATAAATTATTTTATTAACACAAAAATTATATTTAAAAATAATTAAAATAAATATTTTTCTTATTATTTAAAATTTTATAAATCAATAAATAGTACAAAAAACAAAACTATTTATGTCTTATATAATTAAAATAAAATAAATATATAGTTGGTTTCAAAAATTTGAGTTTACTTACTATAACTTTTAACTTTAACAATTTTTAAAGTTTTAATTATACAATCAAAAATTATAAAATTTATATATATTATATTTTTATATTTATTCTATTTCTTATATTTTTTTAAAAAATTATTTATGAATAATTTTAAAAATTTTATTATTGTTAAATATTTTTATTTTTTTATTAATTATTATATAATTTATAATAATAATCAATTAAGACCTGTGGATCAATAGCACAGTGGTAATACTTCCAGGTCGCAATCATAAGGTTAAGGACCAAAATCAAAAATTATC